GGCCTCAATTAGGGATGGAAATGATTGTTTGCAGTGCACTTAAGACTCGCGTCCTCTGAGCACAGCAGATTACAGTGCGTCTCATTGGTCATCACCCTAATGCCTCCATTGGTGATCCATCACGCCAATGTGAGTCCGTCCAAACTCATCATGCCGGCGTCGACTTTGTTTTAAAATGACCTTCAGCTGGTCGTCAATGAATTCTGACCAGATGGTGCTTGATGGTTACGGTTCTGAGGACGAAGATGAAGACGAAGTGACCTTCAGCAGCCACTCGTCTCACACACACACTATATCACCATCACACACACACACACACGAGGGCTGAGCTCGAGCGTTACACAAAATGACTTCCTCTAACGACACACGTGTTCTCTCGCTCTGGAAACACTGCTGTGCACCACACGCACACGCACCCCTGTGCTGATGTGCGTCGGCCCTCCGGCGCCGAGTCAAGAAGGTCCAATTACCGCATTGCTGGGCCGGCTCTGCTGTTGCTATGCTGAGACACACTGTTGCTATGCAGTGACCCCCCCCCGCTGGATGAGGCGAAAGTGAGGCCTTTCACACAAAGCCTTTCTGGCGTCCACCTTTCAGCGAGAACACGGCCCCCTGACTCACATCGGCACGTTACATCACAACCCCCCCGCTGGTCCTCCATGAACACCGAACGCCGTTCAGCCTCTGGTTGTTTGGTCCTTTTATCATTTACAGTACATTGTTTTATTGTCGTATTTGCTTCGCAATTTGGGCAGCAGCGAAAATAATCATGGCGTCCCGGCGGTGTTTCATAAACGAGCGTCTTAATCAGAAGAGAACTTATGACCATTTCTTCTATCGGACGATCCTGCCTTAGTTGGTTTTCTTGATGGACTGTATATAAGAAGTGGGCGTAGTCATCATGACACCAGGAAGTGACCATATTTGGAGTGAGGAAGGGTGACGTAGAGACCTGTCAATCACAGTCAGCATCCCCTGGCTTTATGGAGGGTTTGACTAAGTGGACAAGGAGACGCCTAGGAGACACCTAGGAGACACCCAGAGGGAACGGAAGCCTTTAAAGGACCTCGGTTAGTCTCCAGTCATCACAACGTGAATAAATGAACGAGTCCGCCGCCTGCGGGGAAAACGCACCGCGCGAGTCTCAAGTCCTTCGTTTCCACTTCAACTCCGCGCCACAGGAAACACAAGCCTGCACCTCCTCCACCACCACCTCCTCCACCACCTCCACGCTCTGGATCCCCTCCGTCGTCCCACCATCAGCCAGTGAGTATCAGTACAGAGTTGTGTGTGTACGACCAAAACAACGGGACAAAAGACAGTGAAACGCTCCATGGAGTAGTGGGCGGGGGGGGGGGGCGATCCCCAGAATGCCCTCCTCTCCCTGACTCGCTCATCCTGGCGCCGGGCCGAGGCGAGCGAGGGAAAGAAAAACACGCCAGAGCACCAAGTCGCCGCTCTGCCTCACACTTCCTGCTGCCCCCCCCCTCCCCACACATGTTGTTGGTGTGCAGCTTTTTGACCAATCAGACTTCAGCCAGCGATCACATGTCCTTCAGGGCCGGAAACGAAAAGGTCGTGAACCTTTCCGAACGCCGCCCGTCATCTTTCAACAAAAGAAGAACTGGTGTTTAAATCGGCTGCGTTTGTGCGTGTGGTTGGTTTGCGATGCAAACCCACATCTGTACACATCACTCGTCGGCGGTTTCCTCACGCGGTTACAGATGTGCGATTTCCTTCCCACAGCCAAATTGACTCGTTTCACAACACTTGTCCTCTGTTGAACGAACTGTGCGTTACCTTCGTGCAGCACGGACATTGTGTGTTCAGATGAGGAGACTTAATTTAAGGCCCTGTGCAACGCAGCTGCCTCCCGTCTCCTGCTGGTGATTGATGTGCCCGGTGACCAGGTTGTGTCTTTGTGCGTCTGTGTGTGTGTCACGACCATTGGACTCCTCATTAAATCTCTGCAGGAGGCTGAAGAGGACGATGACGAGGACCGTGGACCCACTTCCTGCCGCAGCCCCGTTTACTGGGGGGCGTAATCATACTCCAGCAGGTCTTCCTTCCTGTATCCCCCCCCCCCCCGTAACACGACCACACACCTTCGTCACCAGGAACATGACAGCAGCACATCAATCACCACCGGGAGGCGGGAGCAGCACACTCATAAAACACACCTCACGCTCATGGTAATAAAAACACAGTGGAGGAAAACGAAAGTGAAAGAGACGACATACAGATATTAGAGAGCATGACGTAAACGTAGTTAAAAAACGTGGCGAGCAAAGTTGCACGAGGGCGAGTTGTCAAGAGAGCAACAGGAAACTACCTCCGACGCTGTGGATGGGACACATTAACGGAACGGCATGACATTAAAACAATGAGACTAATACGAATCCTTAACCTTAATCCTTAATTAAAGTCTAAATGTCCTTTTCAACGTAACGTCCGCGCCGCCACCAAAAGACGCATCGGCAGATTTATTCAAACGTTCACATGTATGTCAGGTACCAAGAGGCTAAGAGAGCGTTCGTTTCTCATCATTGAATCTGATGTTAATGTGATGAAAGCGGGACAGCGGCGTGCGTCTGTGGCTGCCATTAAGCTCGACCGTCTCCGGGAGGCGAGAGAGTCCATCAAAGGTTGGGATGAATAATGAAACGCGTGAAAAGCCTTTTTCTCCCCGAGCTGCTTACGAAGCACATTCAGGTCCCAGTAAGACCACGACCCCCCACCCCCTCCACCCCCCACAGGCCTCCATCTTGTTGTGTGCTCGTTCCTCCACCAGAGCGCTTCACGGGGACGAATAGACGGAGACGTTATCAAAAGCGCCACAGTGAGACGAGCTGGTTCGCTGTGATTTATTCCACATTTGATGTGTGACGCACTTCTCTATAAAAAAGCCCTTTTTATTTCATTCCTGCATTTTTTTTTTACTCTGGCGTATCGATTGCGCGCAGAAAGAGAGCAGCGGCCCACAGCCGCCACGTTACATAAGCTCATCAATCAAACTTTCCTCGGTTTCATGGCTCCCAATCAATCAGATCACCCCCCCCCCCTCAGGTGTGTGTGTGTGTGTGTTCGCACTCGGCAGTAATCAGGTTGAACCTCTGAGCTCTCCCCTTCAGCAGCGTCTGCTTAATCCGATCGCCTTCCACTCAGCGCCTCACATGCGGCGGCTGGGTTGCCGCGGTAACCCCAGTCGCAATAAAGCCAGAAACCGCACGAATGAGCCAGAATGAAGTCGTTCTTAAGTCAGATCACCTGGTCGATTCAGTTCTTTTTGTGATGATTTTACCTGGATTTCTTCACCTCGCAAAGCGGCCGGTCCGGACTCCGTCCCCCCCCTCACACCCTGAAGCATTGTGCTGAGCAGCTGTCTCCGGTGTTCACTGACATCTTCAATACCTCTTTGGAGACCACGTACCAGCCTGCTTCAAGGCCTCCACCATCATCCCTGTCCCCAAGAAGCCCAGGATCACAGGACTCAATGACTACAGGCCCGTCGCCCTGACCTCTGCAGTCATGAAGTCTATTGAACGGCTCGTCCTGTCCCACCTGAAGTCCCTCACCGACCCCCTCCTGGACCCCCTGCTGTCAACATGGCCCTCCACTACATCCAGCATCTGGACTCCCCAGGAACCTACGCCAGGATCCTGTTTGTGGACATGAACTCTGCCTTCAACACCATCATCCCGTCTCTGCTGCAGGACAAACTCCACCTGTCTGACAGGAAGCAGCACGTGAAGCTGGGAAACATGTCTCAGCCTCTCGGACCATCAGCACCGCTGTGGACTCCTTCCGTTTCCTGGGCTCCATCATCACCCAGGACCTCAAGTGGGAGCTGAACATCAGCTCCATCACCAAGAAGGCTCAGCAGAGGTTGTTCTTCCTGAGGCAGCTGAAGAACTTCAACCTGCCAAAGACGATGATGGTGCACTTCTACACGGCCACCATGGAGTCCATCCTCTGCTCCTCCATCACCGTCTGGTACGCTGCAGCCACAGCCAAGGACAAGGTCAGGCTGCAGCGTGTCCTCCGCTCTGCAGAGAGGCTGATCGGCTGCAATCTGCCGTCCCTGCAGGACTTGTTCGCTTCCAGGTCTCTGAAGCAGCTAAAAAGATGGTAGCCGACCCCTCCCACCCCGGACATAAACTGTTTGTGCCCCTTCCATCTGGCAGGAGGCTGAGGTCCATCAGGACTACGACCTCCCGCCACACCAACAGCTTCTTCCCGTCGGCAGTCGGGCTCATCAACAGAGGTGTCTGTTTGCTGGTGCACTTTATCTTTCCTTTTGATTTAAATTGCTTCTTATCCTTTACCTTTAGATTGTCTATTCTACCTCCCGCCCATAGTCTTATATATTATACCGTGTAGTCACATTGTAAATTGTTCATGCCGTGCACTATGTTGTCTTATCCGTCTTGTTGTCCATTGACTTACTGTGATGTCACGCACCAACCGCCAAGTCACATTCCTTGTATGTCGGACATATTTAGCTAATAACGGCTCCTGATTATTATTAATGAGGCCTGTTAGGAAAAAACTCAATAGACACGTCACCCTGGTCTCATATTCAGCACAGGACTCACCCGTCATGGGGGGAATGATATCGTGGTGCAGAGTGTGTGTGTGTGTGAGAGAGAGACGTCACACACACACACACACACACACACACACACGGCGCTGGTATCCGTCCCATGATGCTCTGCGGTGTGATTGATGAGTAACGAGGCAGGTGGGAGTTGCGGCACTCTGCTCCTCTGTGCCATTTGTTGAGGGGGGGTGGGTGGTGCAAATGGCGGCAGATCAAGTGTATCGTTATGAGAATGCACCAGTGTTAATGTGTGGACGTGTCCGTCCCCCCGGCTGCCGCCCACTGCGTGTCTTCAGCGAAAGGTTAAAGGTCGACTGCCACTGAAAGCGCCTGAAGCTGCAGCTCCTCCGAGAAGGAATCAAGACAAAGCAGCAAAAGTGGAAAAGTAGTAGAAACTTACTCATGGTGGGAGTCCACTGGTGGGGGGCAGGTAGAGGCCCGGGCGGGGCGGGGCTTTGGACAGGTGAGGTTATTGTCCACTGGGTCTTTCCTAGAGGCACTCATGACCTGCCAGAAATAAAACAAAGATTCAATATTAAAACCTCATCTCAAATGGAAACATTTACATCTTGTAAAACGTTTTTTTCAGACATTTCACAGACAAAATAAAATAATAGTAAAAAAAAATCCTCATGGCTTCCAAATTACACAAATGCATCCGCATGTCACTGACAATGACGTCTGAATGCATCACACACGTGTGTGTGTGTGTGTGTGTATATATCCACCCTTCCAAATCCCCGGTCTTTGGACTAAATAACAGTAATCTGATGATACTCTGCAGTAATTGTGGGTAATTTGATCACTCTGCAGATGCTTGCTGGACCAGAATGAGCAGGGAGGGGCGGGCAGGAAGGGAGGATGGGGGGGTGGGGGTGTTTATGCCGCCATGAACACGACTAGTGCAGATGTTGGTGGAGCCAACATCCTCCAGGGCTGCGTGTGATGAAGCCACAGGTCAGCAGAAAGCTTCAGCGGGACAGGAAGTGACAAACAATCCGCCGATTCGTTTTATCTGACAGGTGGAGTGGGGGGGGACGTTTGAAGCAGAAGGTCCAGAGGAGACGTTTGAAGCAGAAGGTCCAGAGGAGACGTTTGAAGCAGAAGGTCCAGAGGAGACGTTTAAAGCAGAAGGTCCAGAGGAGACGTTTAAAGCAGAAGGTCCAGTGGAGACGTTTAAAGCAGAAGGTCCAGTGGAGACGTTTAAAGCAGAAGGTCCAGTGGAGACGTTTAAAGCAGAAGGTCCAGAGGAGAGGTTTAAAGCAGAAGGTCCAGTGGAGACGTTTAAAGCAGAAGGTCCAGTGGAGACGTTTAAAGCAGAAGGTCCAGTGGAGACGTTTAAAGCAGAAGGTCCAGTGGAGACGTTTAAAGCAGAAGGTCCAGTGGAGACGTTTAAAGCAGAAGGTCCAGTGGAGACGTTTAAAGCAGAGGGTCCAGTGGAGACGTTTGAAGCAGAAGGTCCAGAGGAGACGTTTAAAGCAGAAGGTCCAGAGGAGACGTTTAAAGCAGAAGGTCCAGTGGAGACGTTTAAAGCAGAAGGTCCAGAGGAGACGTTAAAGCAGAAGGTCTAGGCAATGAGCGTCGAGCCGATGTTACATCACCAGTCGGCAATCCGGAACAACGTGAATTCTAATAAAATGAAAAAAAGGGAGCAAATGTCATTTAACATTAAGAAACAAGCCTTCTTTGTTGCCATGTGAACTCAGCGGGCCGGTGGCTCCGTCGCCACGGTAACGGCGTGTTAAAGAGTAACCGTGTGGACCTCACACCATAAGCGTCCGCTGTAAACTGGGTTGGTGACACACACACACACACACACACACACACACACACACACACACACACACACACACACACACACACACACACACACACACACACACAGCGCTGATGCTATAAAAGAGAGAGTGGTGGACTGAGCCAATAAAGACTCTGTGCCAAGGCCTCAGTGATGGAATGCAGTGTGTGTGTGCGTGTGTGTGTGTGTGTGTGTGTGTGTGTGTGTGTGTGTGTGCGCACTACATCTGGTGCATGGGTGGGCTGCCTGCCTTCTGTAGGGAGTCGAAGGCCTGAGAGACGTCATCCGACCTGCTGCAGGAAACATGCAGGTTTCACACATCCGCATTCATAACTTCTGCTTTTCCCAAACCAAAAGGTAATAAAATACAAATAAAAAAACACTAGCATCACCTTCAAAGAGACAGAAACTAGAAGAAAAAGTCAAGAGGAAGAAGTCCTGTTCGCTTAAAACAGTTTCTGTCTTATTTAAGGAAAGCGGGAACCGTCGAGGACTCACATTTACGGTACGAAATGACAAATACCAGCTGAAAGCGCGGCGCACAAAGCTGCGGGATGCAGATGAAACCCAGTCAGGACTCTGTTGCTACGTTACAGACAAAACACACACACACCAGCTGACGGAGGGAGCAGGTGAAGGAGTAAACTCATTCGTGGTTGTAGATCAAAGTCATTGTTCTACTTTAACTCAGAGGAGATGTATTGCAGGAGCAGCTCAGATGGAATTAATTGTAATGAACCTTTGTGAACAAATCTGTCACAAATATCTCTGCAACAGTTTGTGGATTCATTGATCAAATCGGAGGGCTGATCAGTTTGTTTTTGCTGTTTGGCGAAGTACTAAAAGGTATAATACATCATGGGTTAGAACTACATACATAGTACACGGTGCCTCATATATAGTACACAGTACTACAAGGGCCATGTGTTTACAGACTGTAAAGCCCCTGATGCGTTAAGCCGCATTATCCTGAAGCGGGACAGGAAGGATTGGAAGACGCACCATTGTCAAGTCAACACTAATAGAATGGATCACTTCCCGGTGCAGCTTTCAAAACAACATGACAATTTTCCTGGGTGAGCCCTGTACTCCTGCTACGAGGGGACTCAAATCAACAACAGTCGGTAGGAGTGATGGCGTTTAGCAATGGTGAGTTGTTAAATTTTAAGACGCTAATAATAGCATTTCGACTTTATTGTGTAAATGGGCACGGCATGCTTGATCATCTATATTTGAAGATATAGTATAGAAGATAAATGTTTGTGTTCGTATTTACATATTTTTCACTTTTTATAATGCTGAAAGCTTTTTGGTGATAACATTAATTATTTGCTGTATATTAATCCCTTTTATCCCTACAGCGATGGGTTTCAACGCTTTTATTTTGAAACGAGTACACCGCATATCCGCTTCTCTCTTAGTTCTGCGCAAATTAACTCGCGCGAGGGAGAAAATAACACAAAGTGCTCAACTTTCTCCAACACGAACGCTGAAACGAGCCTCGATCCACGCGACAACATTTACATCCGCTTAGTTCCGTATTTTATGAACAAACGCGAGCTCCTGAATACCTTTTAACGCCACAAAATGTAGCCGCAGCGGCTCCGGGGCTCATCAGGGTGAGTGACAGGTGGCCACAGCCAATCGGCAGCCTCGGGGCTCACGGCTACAGCCAATGGGAGGCCGTGAAGGGTACGCGGCCGCATAGACGCCGTTGCGGGAGGCCCCCTCGGGGGTTTTGGGCTTGTGAAGATGTAAACATTCAGCAAAAACACAACCGGAAGTAAAGAGACCAGGTAGTCAAAATAAAACACCCGACAGGTACTTTAAGTTTATACAAGCGAAACATTTGTTTTAATTTAAAATGCGAGCTCATTTGCATACAACAAGGCATGAGAGTTAATATTTTTGTTAAAATATAAATGAAAATTACATTATTTAAAAAAATCGTGAATTATTCTTTTTTTCAAACTACGTTTTAACTAAATGTCTTGATGTTCTTTCCTTTGCTTGGAGCTGAACACTTTTATGTGAAACCTAATTCAATTCAAATGTCGATAATGCATTTGTGTAGTTTTGGGGCCTATAACAGTGGTGCAGCTATATATATATATATTTATATATATTAATACAGAGGGGGCATACATAATATTTAAGCACTTTTTGAGGTGATTGATTTGAAATGCCCTGTACGCTATTTCACCCGAAAACTCTTCACACTGGCTTGTACCGGGAGCTTATTTGCAGGACGATACGGAAGCCTGCCTGCTGCCCTCATCGCCGGGTCGGTGAAGGCCTCGGTGAATGCAGATCAGCACAAAGTTTGCAATAATAAAAACACCGTGTATCCTGCTCCGTGAACGCGAAACAACGCCAATAATCCAAAACAAAAGACGCGCGATATAGTCCCCGATTATCCCTCCGCGCGCCGCGCTCCCCTGTGAGGAGCTCCCGTTAACCGGCGGCCGTCATTCGGCTCCCCCCGCAGCGAACGACCCCACTGACCAGATGCATTTCAGGGGCTCGACAAGTTCCCCGATCCGCAGCCCCCCCCCCCGGCCCCCCGCTCCCCTCCTCTCTGCCCCCCCCCGCAGTGGAGCACCGGAGGCTCACCTTCGCTGTGGACTCGTGCGGCTCCTCTTCGCTCGCTCACATCCCTGCAGGTAGTTCCGCGTGCAGAGCGCAGCACGGAGCGCCCGTGGTCCCGAACCAGGAAGTCCGGAGCACTTCTCAAACTACCCACCCCCCCCACCACACACACACGTCTCCCCCTCCCTCTCTCTCCCAGAGTGAGCGTGCGCGTCAGGCACAGGCCAGGTAGCGAGGAGGAGGAGGAGGAGGCGGCTCAGTCCGGCCTGCGACATTCCTCACGCACCCGAGACGCTTGTGCGTGTTCTCTCTTTTATTTTTGCAAATAATAAATAAAAACGAAGGTGCCTGACCGCCCCAAAGGCGTGTGTGATCCACACAGTACCAGTTTGTATGATGGGATTGTCTCAGAATTATATAATATATCCCTGGATTATAATCACACATCAAACGTTACCTTTCTTTTATGCTTTTAAGAAATTCACAACCTAAACAAACTATAACACTTTCATTTTAATTATTTTTTTATATACTTCATTCAACCGTGAGGTGTCTTCATATTCGCTACAGAGTGAAAAGTAAATAACAATAGCACTTTATCCCTCTAGTGATCAATAAAGTTGTTATTATGATACAACATCATGATGTGTTTGTTGATTACATACTCATAGACTACACCCTTCACAGTGAGGCCTAAACGTTATGAGCGTGTTCTCCAATGAATGAGGTGAATTGATAATAGATGGAATTAGTGGGGCTCGGTTGCACTAATCCTCAAAAATCACTAGAACTTATTTTACTGCAATAGTGACAAAACTAAACGTCCAATGGTGGACAACAAATTCAGTACAAATTATTTTTTTAAAGACTTTTCATGACTTTGATCCCCCCCTCATTGCACGTCCTATCCTTCAGGCTCACACTGACCTCTGCAGGCCAGAGATGTGCGTGAACATCCATCTGCTGCGCTATATTGTAAATAATTAAGAATAATGATAAAGATGTTTTTTTATTCTTATTGTCCTTCAAGGTGGACACAAACAGGAAATAAAGAACCAGGGAAAGTGGGAGAGAGACTTTTAACGTGTCTTTTGATCACAAGCTATTGAAGGTATTAAAAAAGGTTTCAAAAGTCTTAAAAACGTGATGAAAAGGAAAGAGGAGAAAGGAAATAAGGAAAAGAGAACTGAACTGCGATCAATAGAAACTCCACCAGGGTCACTGTTGGATTCTTTGGAAAAGACATTGTCTCACCTTACATATATATACACATATATATACATATGTATATACATATATATATATATATATATATATATATATGTTTTAATAGATTTTATATGAATATATTTATATTGTAATATATTTATTATAATATATTTATATTTGATATTTATAATAGTTACGATATGGTAGTTATATCATATTCTGAATATTGTTTTATATATATATTTATATATGTGTTCATTAATATACTGAATTGTTCGAATAAGATGTCCCTATCAATGTTAAATATTTAACTGCAATGTAATAATGTGTGTTTGATACCCTTTTTTTGCATTGAATCATACTGGGATGTTTACTAAAACTGTCCACTGTCACCTGACCATGTTATAAGGGGGTGGGTGGGGCTACAACCAGAAGGTACGTGGCAAGTGCTGACTTCACAGCCTACTAGGCCCCTGATTGTGGCGCCGCCGTCCGCTGCAAATTCTGTACTGGTTCCACCTCGACGCCGCGTGACATTTAAAGAGACAACACAGCCAGGAGATCAGGGTGCTACCAGGGACTCGGAGCCATGATGCCGTGCACGATGGGGACTGGGAACCCCACTGAGAAGTTCCATGAAGTGCTTAAAGGACCTTTGTGCAGAGAGTCTGGAGGAGATCAGCAGGGGTCAGACTGCTGGTGGTGCTAGGCTAATATACAGCTAACATACAACTAATGTACAGCTAACGTGCAGATAGAGTACAGCTAACGCACAGCTAACGTACAGATAACGTACAGCTAACGTACAAATAGCGTACAACTAATGTACAGCTAACGTACAGATAACGTACACATAATGTACAGCTAATGTACAGCTAACGTACAGCTAACATACAGCTAACGTACAACTAATGTACAGATAATGTACAGATAATGTACAGCTAACATACAGATAACGTACAGCTAACGTACAGCTAACATACAGATAATGTACAGCTAACGTACACCTAACGTACAGATAACGTACAGCTAACATACAGATAATGTACAGCTAACGTACAAATAACGTACAGATGACGTACAGATAACGTACAGTTTTCGATTCGTTTGCTTCTAAATGTTTACTCTTTTAAAGAAACCAGAAGTTTTTAAATCGCTTCACAAGAGGGAGAAACAAGACGAACCGCA